GATAAAGATTTGGTGGCTGATCACTCCCTTCGAAATCACGTTATTGCTACATCAACAGTGTCATGAGCTGTAGAATGTTACAATAACTGCCGTATGAATTATCAGTGCAACTCTCTTAATTTCTGGTCAACTAGAAAAGAGAAGAATTGTGAGCTGAATAAGGAAAACAAGTTTCTGAAGCCATCTGACTTACATCCAGATCCTGATGCTCTGTATTACGATCTGGTTGTTGATTACAGCGCTGTAGTAAGATGTAGGCCTCGCAGTACATAACATCTACATTTATTAGTCTTACAAAGGGGGCCATCACGCAATGAGAAGCATTTGAAGCCGGAAACCTGATACCTCCATCAAGTACATTTCAAACTTATTTCTAATCAACTACTGAAAATAAACAAAACTGACGTGTTGAGGTTAATGAACCCCATTTCACTTGATAGTAAAACTGTACTTCAGTTTATGGAAAGTATTTCCCTTGAGATTGGCAAATAAGTTAAAAAGTTTTCGCAACTTTGAAAAAAACCATACCCTATTCATTTTCGCTTTATAAACTTATATTAGGCACTGCAGTGTTTTGCAAGGATTTCCAGCCCAGAAGTAAGAAAAAGCCGTAACTGCTAACGTATAAGATTACGATGATTTTTTGAGGAAACGCCCATGGTGTTTAATTATGATAAACAAAAATACACTCCTGCACATAGAGATGGAATTTCTTTTCTCTGTTTAACTCGATAACTCACAAGTGAGCGTGGCAAAAACGAGTTAGATACCGAATTGACACTCGAAGAGGAATTTCATATCTCATGCACGCCCATGTATTGTTCTTTTTCTAGCGTAGGTGTCTTTCGCAGGGTGTCCCTTGTTCAGAATGCCAAAATGGTTGTTGTAAATCGGCGCCATGTTCCTCTGAATCCACTGTTCGTTGCGAAGAGCTTTGTGACGTCAAGGGAAAGAGATTCCGCTGTGTTTGCAAAAGTGGTTGCACAGGAGACTTTTGCCAAACTGATGGTATGAAACTGATATGTTCGAGTGCACCTGGCGTCGACTTTTACGGGGAAAATTTTTAAAGCATGTTGCATGTAAAGGCTTAAAAGTTTTCGTTGCTCTTTTTGGAAAATGTCCCAACTCTAGCATTGACTGAACGACTCCCCTACCACTGATTAAGAGGGTATAGATTGACCCCTTACGGATTTTGCTGTGTTTCAAGAATTTTTTCATCCATGTAAGGTCAAATAAATGGCATGCTATGAAAGCTTCAAATTGACTTAAGCGATAATTAACTAAAATCGTCATGAGTTCATGAAATGATCAAATTTCGGGGATGGAACTCACACCCTTTTAACTTCACGAGTTAAACCAGTGCCTAATTTCTAACTTTACCTCTAAATTATCATAATCCTATTGTTATTCAAACTCTAAATTTGATTATTCTTGTGTCAATAGTTTCACCTGAATCTCAGCCCAATCCCTGGCCCAAGCCCATCAGACAGCCAATCATACTCGTCACCGCAGGCATGCGTATAAATCCATCTGGATAATCTCCAAGTTCAGCTGCAACTTCAGTTCTAGCTTTATCTTCAACTTCAACTATTAGTCGTCTTTGCGCTATAAGTCCAAGGGGGAGGGGGCCTTAATGATATATCAACATGTTTCCGACTACGAGCGATGTGTGGATCCAATACCAGCACGCCTTTGTTGCAGTAAATGTTCATGATATAATAGAATGCAGTTTTTACCTTGTTATGCTTAAACACGAAAGCGCGCTATAAAAGGCGCCATAGGTCCCACTGGACCATTTGTCAATCAACCGTCGTGTGATGTGGAACTCTTAGAGTCAAGTCAGCTTGAGCTACAGCTACTCCAAAGCAGTGAACAGCGGGCGCATTCCTCAAAATTGTTTTATGTCTTCATCACAATACAAGAATTTTTGAGATTTGTATTTCCTTTCTCCAATGGAAACTGTCTTTATTTATGGCGGAAACTGTCTTTATTTATTTATTTGAGATCGAAGTAGGTGGTTCGCACGTTACCTCATGCCACCATGCTGGTGGAAGTAAACAATAGATATCTCATTAGCTCCTTTTGTTCGTCTACCAGCATTTAAATTTGACCCGCACACGTCAACGGTGAGTGATAAATGAGCCTAGGTCTTCCCATGGAAGACTTCCTTCTAAAGCGCGCCTTCGTGTTTAAGACGATCGTGCACTTCAGTGGTCCCCCAAGTTCATTTGTAATTATATGGGAAATGACATAATGATTTAGCACGTTCCAGATTGTTAAACATGTGACCATAAGTGGAGTTTATACAAAGTTGTTGTTGTATCTCAGAGAGCTGTAAATAAAGCTGTGTTTTGCAGACCATAAGTGACTACCGGCTCATCGACTAAATGACAATAGCTGTTCCTGTTCCAGTTAACACGTTGATTGATATCTCATTTGTGATTACCAATTTAATTAAGTTGTAGCCGTTTAAGCCAGAAGGTTAAACTTTGATCCAAAAGTGAAACAGTTTTGACCAGGCGTTCGGTTTACAAGCACGTTTTCCTTCGCTTAACTGTTGAACTGTTTGGTGATCTTTTTGTTATTCTTTGATCGGTAAATAATTTGGAAAGATAACGCCACAGAAGATTCTACATAAGTAGGTCATGTTGCCAATTCAACTTTAAGTATTTTCATTTTCAATTAGTTCTCTTCTATATGCAACTTTAATGAATCTTTCGTAATTAGATTTCATACGTATCATGTAATTCATTTTCATTAGATCGAATAGAGACTTTACACGATTTAGTTTGTCGAGGGCGAACCATTTTCCCCGAAGCAACTACTTCTTCCGCCACCTGTCCTTATACCTCGGAATTCATCTCGTCAAGCTTTAAGCTCTTTCCATTGGTAATGTTGGTGTTTCATTTTCTTGGTCGAAGGATAAGTATACGCAATCTAATGGGGCCGAATAAGATTGATATCAAGAGTGCTTTCAGAAAATAGTAGAGATTGTCCTCTTCGCTGTGCAACCCCTTTTGCGATTTATCATTCTCTAGATTAAAAGATGGTATAAATGATAGCAGTCATATGTACTAGTGACGATAATAATAATAATAATAATAATAATAACAATAATAGTGATTATAAAAAGAAAAAAACAGACTAACATGTAAGTTTAAATTCCAATTGCATTTCTTTTGTATTCGCTAACATAGGCGTACGGGCAATATTTTTGCCGGGGGGGGGGGGCGTGAACCATTTGCCCAAAAAGTTCTCGCNTTCAGGTCTGATTTTCGCTAGTGCATAAATAGCGCTATCTACTGCGAGGATCGCACATCATACGTATAGGCGTACATATAGAACAGGTTAAAAGAAATAGCTGCCATTTCGATGGCCAAATGTATCAATGGTACGATCCATGTATTTCTGTTACACCGACATCCATAAACTGTGTACTGTTGTCATTCGGAAGATCTGAGCCAACGTCTTTGGCTTCGATTTTGCTGTATTTAACAACTATTCACCTCAGTGTCGGTGGTTAGCGGTGGATATTTACCTCGCCGCGAACAGTGAGATAATATACACCACCGTCGTTAACTTGAGTGATTTCTTCGCTTGTCACGGATGCAAACCGAGGTGCCATTTTTTCCCGAGTTGCTCGGCGGTAAATAGCAAAGGATATTCGGAGTTTGACTAGCCAATCAGAGCGCGCCTTCAACGCTATCCACTGTTTTAGTATATACTAATTAAGGATATTTATTGTTTCGTCGCCGTCGGTGAAACAGGTCGTTGTTGGTGTATTTGTGATTAATTTGGCGCACGAGAAACAGTAAATTTAACTCTCTTGCCTATACGCTTGGTTCTTGCATGAGCGTCTTGGTACTCAGCAACGATGTCTTTTTCATATTCGGAACAGGTAACGCGATGGCGATAGGCCCGCTTACGTTTTTGTGGGGCCGGATTCCAAATGTCTACTATGGCATAAGGCGAGTTTTACACACACAAAAAAAAACTTACGTAAGGTGCGTATTTGTTTCCACTGTCGCGTAAATTTTTGAAAAACTACGGGCGTGGATTTCGCTGGCTTTACGCCATAAAGGACGTAGTAAAGCCAGTTAAATTCACACGAGACAGTGGTTGCCGAGCACGTGACTCAGATATTCTGAGAGTCTCCAGTGGATAATCTACAATATGATTCTAGAAAGTTATGCCGAAATTGACTCTAATTAATTCACGACTGGAAATTCCCCACACTAACTAGTGCAGTGCAGCACAGTGCTCAACAACAAAATTACAAATATGTATATATATCAACATATGATCCCTTTCAAAAATAACCAGAAAGTGATCACGTGCTAGGCAACCATGTCTCGTGTGAATTTAACTAGCTTTACAACGTCGGCTCGATTACCAGTCACTGTTCGAGAAAATGAGCCCGCACTCATCCTCCCGAAGGGGAAGATCAGAGACCGGACCTGGGAGACGGTGGAAATCGAGCCTATTTACAACGCTGACTTCAGGTTGAAACAAAATATCTCTTCGGAAAAAAATGCACAGACTCATGCAAACTTCTTTAAAAACTAGCTTTGCCCAAATTTCTCGCGCTGCCCAAACAATCTGAGTTGCCCAAAATTTAGGGGCTGCAGCCCCCCCCTCCCCCCCCACCCGCTTCCGGCCCGTACGCCTATGTTCGTCAATCTACCCTTATGAATAATGCAATCCTTAGGGGGTGATGACGAAAGAGAATCTAAAAATAGCAGTTTTAAATCGCAATTGACCAACCCTCAGAATCGTTCATGATTCCATTTGCTCTGAGATATTTCATCTGACATCTGCCTCTTTTCTCTCTCTGTCAACTTTCCTTTTCTCGGTTTAACATTCTCAAGCTACAATGGTAACTGTCGCATCACGATCGTACCAGTTTAATATTCATTTGCATGTTTTCGAGAGCAATATTTTGTCAGCGGTTTTATTCATTAAACACCTGGGAGATTTTACCCAGGGGTAGTATCGTTTCGCGGAAGGTGATTTCTTTCTGTTTCTGAGAATGTTGTGACATAACACGAAATGCCAGATCCCCTTAAATTGAAGCTTACAAGAAGGAAGGAATTAATATGATGCCTTAAACAGTCAGGTCTATGTAAAGATCCATTTTGCGAAGATATGGAGAAGCCACATCTCAGCTTCTTGATGCACAAGTTGATCGTAGCCAGTCACGTACGATATACCATTTGAAAAAGCTACAAATAACATCATCTGCCTCGAAATTTGACTATGGCGAACAAGAACGAGGGAGAAGTAGTTTCTCAGCAACTCCGAGACCTTTGGAGCTCGTATGTGCGGTGTAGTTCATCACAGGTAATGCAAACCGTTACCGTGACTTTTTGTCTATGACCTGCATTCATGTGTGGAGAGCCAATTTCCATCCTTGAAAGCTCTAGCGGATCAACTGTTGGTAATCTTCGCTTTCCTTATTAAAGGAAAAGTTTGCTTCAGAAACCATTAGATGTTTATGTTCACATTAAAGAAGTATACGAGAAAATTCACTGATTGTCTCGTCTAGAGATCCCAAACAGTTATCTGGTTCAAAATTGTTTGCAAATGTGCTAAAATGTAATTATCGACGCCGCCATTTAAAAAGAAAACTCCGAAGCTACAAAACAAAACATCAAGCAATGTTTGGCACAAAGACAGCCTTTATCACAAGATTACTAATTAACCAATATTTTCACAGATACGTAACTTTTAAATGATAAGCTAATTATAAAAAAAAAAAAAACAATCAAACATAACATAAAACCTGAAATTAAATGGCTGTCTGGAAGATGACCCAGACAGATGGGAGAAATGGAAGGGAAGAAAGCATTAGTAGCTTCTAAGAATCCATGTGCAGTTGTGTTTATGCAGTGGCAAGCTGAGCAACAGAGCAACTGATCTTAATGACTAAGTAAATTAACTAAAGTAAAAACTAATCATGACATTACCATACTTATAATAGGAACAGGGAACTTAAGTCGCAGGAAAAGTCTGCTGATGTTAAATTTCTTGTACTTAGTAGCCATGCTTGATCACAGTTATGATGCGAGACTGTTTCTGTACCAATTTGCTATGTTACTTTGTAATTTAGAAGCACATCACTCAGTAATTTATAGTGTTTCCCAGTTAGCTGGCCTCACATGCTTAAATTCCAGAAATTTTTTGTAAAGATGACTCCCTCGCATGATCTTTAGTTTTTTTCTGAAGCATCTCTGCAGGCTGGAATCTTAAGTTCTAGAATCCGTGGATTAAACTTCTTGATCATATGACATGTAAGACATTAAAAACAGGCTCCTGAGAAAAGTGATCGAAAACTATGGAATTTTATGAAATATACAAACCAGGTAGATATTGTCTTCTTGAATATATGAAGTGTAATTTCTTATGTCACTTTGAGATTGAGTGAAATGCATTTTATTCATTGTTTATAGTTGCCAGAGAAAACCAAATTTCTGGAGCTTTTCATGGTGCAGTTTTTGGCAACCTACCATGTTGAAAAGGGAGACTTAAAGAAAATTTCCAGCTTTGTGTAAGTTAAACCACAATCATGAGTATTTTAAGGCTGACTCTGAAGGGTTTTGAATCACACAATCATGGTAGCTTGCAAAATTAAACTTGAAAGATTACAAATATTTTCTGCTTATTGTTAGTTATAACGTATTATCATATAACCTGTCATGACAGTCTGTAAATCATGACATTGAGCCAAATAATTACCTGTCTCTCCCTCCCACTTGTCTATAAGTACATAGTTACATTTATCAGTAATATTGTATCCCCAAGTTTTAAACCTTGACACCTGGCATATCTTTACCTATCATGATTCCATTAGAGTGACTTGCCTACATATTAGATGAAATACAATTAATTAAAAAGTGTTTAATGATATACAGTGTTTATTACAATATGGCTGTGTCTCACCAGGACTGGGGACTACCAAATTCATGAATTTGATTGGCTGAAATCAATATTGAAAGCGGTCTAGATTTTCCCATCTAGACCGGCATCTAGACTGGTCCAGAAAAAAAAGGTACAAAGAATAGAAAAAATTGGCATATAAGACACAGCCATATAATAACCATCTTATTAACCGAGCTGGGTCGGTCTGTATGGGAGAATCTTGACCTCGGTCGCTGGTACAGACCTCACTGCGTTCGGTCTGTACTGGCGACCTCGGTCAAGATTCTCCCATACAGACCTTCCGCTTGGTTAATAAGAACTAAATATTTGTGATTATTTTGCAGTGATGTCTACAGCATAAGCAATGTGCTGACAAGTGAATTCCAGTCTGCAGTTCTTCTAAAATGTGAGGATGAGTGTGAAAAACCATTGGTTGATTATCTTTGTCATGGACAGGGTCTACTTCTGCTACAGATGTTATGTATTCTAGCAAGTAAGGTAAGGTACAGAGTCACCAGGGTCCAGTTGCTCAAATTAGGGCATAAAATGCTATCCAACAGATAAATCACAATCCAGTGTAGAAGTGTTATTAACAAAATACACTGTGCTATTCACCTGCTCTTCAAACAACCACAGCCAGGTAATCTATTTTGCATCCTGACATCAGTATCCATATTCTACATACTGTTTTCCAAACATTTTCTTTGCTACTAACAGGGAGACTTTCTTTGACAAGTAGAGTTTCTTACTAGGTTGGTAATCATTGACTTAATTCTCTTGATCTAAGTGAATGATTCAGTTGCATTGTTGTAAGGAGAAACTAGTTGCTGGTCACTCTTAGAGTTTTAAAGTGTTAAAAGGGACCTTACGCAAACCATGGCGCCGATGGCAACGGGGACGTTGAAAAACAAAAGATCTAATTGGCAGAACAATAGCCCAGCACGTGCATTTTAAAACCTAGTACATTTCATAGCTGTCCTCTGCAAAACAACAATGTGAAATCACCGAAATTTGCGTAGTTTCCGAACCAAAACCGCGATGGCAAATTAATTTAATTTCCATTTGGAACTCAAGGCTACTTTTACACGTTACTTTGAGGTTGAGTTGTGGTGCCATAGGAGATGGTAAACACATGCAGCCATTTTCGAAATTCTAATTTAAAGTAGAAATTCATTTTTTGATCGACGTCTTCCTTTGCGTTGCCGTCTTGACTGCTTAAGTTCCCTATTGAGTAGATTTTTTTATCTCAAATTAAAGTCGATGATGTAATTACCATAATCATGATAAATCAATAATCTAGTAAGTAAAATTAAAAATAGGAAACTACATGAAAATGCATACAAAACTTCTATACCCTTGAACTATTAGTGAGAATTGATTTACTTGCAACTTCTCTTTGCGATATGCATAAGTTATCTTCCAAACAGATCACAAGAAGAGACATTAGCTTGTCAGTTAGTGGATGTTATGTTGATAGAACAGCAAATCTCCTTGTGTAATATTCAAGGAACTGTATGGCAGGAGAAATACTAATTGGATCTTGGGACTTTTTTTAGCAGGTACCAGTTGGTTGATTGACCAAGAGTTGATTGATTAGTTCTTATTCTCATTATTTTTGTGATGTTTTTGTGTAATTTAACAGGTTGCTGGAAGCAGTTTAGAGTTGGCTAATCTACTTGTTTCTTTGCTGCCAGTTGTTTTAAGAGTACCTTTACAACATTATGACTGTCTTTATGGTAATGCAGGATGTATTTGTTTGTAATATGTGTTTATTTTCTATTCTGAACAAGTCAGGAAGGAGTACAAGTGTATCTGTGCACACAGTAAAAAGTGATACAATTTACATTTCACATAGACTTGATTTTCACTAAGTTTGAAAGAAGAGGGTAAATTTTATTATTAAATTGAAACAGATGAGGGTACCACAGACACCATACTGTTTACACATATTACATGAAAGACTGGGAACTCTTCACTTAAAATGCCCCAGGTATTCCACAAAGTTTGCATGAAACCACTAGGAAATTTTTTTCTTGGAATCATTGATTTTTGTACATCTAAACCTGTTGTTGGTAAGTGATGATTACAAGATACTCAAAACTTGGAAATTGCTGCTGTTCAAATTTCTTGAGTGTTACATAGTTTGTTGGACTCCATCTTAAGAGGACTGGGTTTGAGACCTGGGGTCCATTTCTCAAAAGTCCTGGGCCAGGTTGTTCAAAGGTGGATTTAGATAACCCAGGGTAACTGTGAAATTTGATTTCAGATCTGAAAGCTATAAAAAAAAATTCAGTTTAATTCCATGTGTCTACAATTAGATGATTGAATGCCCTAAAAAGAATTAGGGAAATTACCCCAAAATGGCATTTGAACAAAGAAATATAGAAACCTGGATTAAAAAGTTAACCCTGGGTCAGCGCTAATCGCCCTTCGAACAACTGGGCACTGGTAACCTAATGAGCCTGAAGTCATGTTTTAAAATCAAAATTTAAAAGAAAGGAAAGCAAGTTCTAGCACCCAAACCAGTCCTTTTTGTTTCTTTTAATTAAATTTTGATTTTAAAACATCGCTTCAGGCTCATTAGGTTGCCAGTGCCCAGTTGTTTAAAGGGCGATTAGCACTGACCCAGGGTTTGAGAAAGAAAGGAAAGCAAGTTCTAGCACCCAAACCATTCCTTTTTGTTTCTTTTAATTAAATTTTGATTTTAAAACATAGCTTCAGGCTCGTTAGGTTACCAGTGCCCAGTTGTTCGAAGGGCGATTAGCGCTGACCCAGGGTTTGAGAAAGAAAGGAAAGCAAGTTCTAGCACCCAAACCAGTCCTTTTTGTTTCTTTTAATTAGCTGATAGTTTTATTGTGTCATTTTCAAAAATTTTTAAATCCCCATTTTGAATCAAAGCAGAACAGCTTTACAGGTCAGTTAAGTTCCTAGGACTTTTGAGAAATAGGCCCTTGGCCAGGTCGTTGTGGTGTATTTTCAGGCCAAGTAAGTTATGTTCACTGAGTGCCCCTCTTCATCCAGGAGTATACATTGAGTACAAGCAAACTTTCAGGGAACCCTGATGTAGTCCTNGGGGGGAATTTGTGATTGACTGGCATCCCATCCAGGGACAGGGGAGGGTAGTAATACTCCTGGACCGGGTTGTTCAAAGGTCGGTTATGAAAACCCAGGGTTAGTGTAAAATTTTATTTCAGATGTGAAAGCTTTTAAAGAAAATTTACTTGAATTCCATTTTTCTATGATTTAATGATTGAATGCTCTAAAAAGGATTGGGAAAATTATCCCAAAACGGCCTTTGAACAGAGAAATATAGAAACCGGGATTAACAACTAACCCTGAGTTAGCGCTAATCGGCCTTCGAACAACTGGGCCCTGGTTGCTTCATTTGAAATTGGCATAAGCTCTGACTGGATTGGCTGCTTGGCTTACGTACATACTTCACCTAGCTACCTAATAATGTCTGAAACATAGATGACCAGCTTATAAAAATGGAAATGAAAATGTGTGGTGATTTAATTCAGTGCTATCATCTGCTCTTTCTCTCTCTCTCTTTACTTCTCTTAGGATTAGAGCTTATTTTTGCTGACTTTGATAATCACTGGTGGGACACCAAGAGCACATCTTGCCACACAAACTTTGTGAAAGAAAAGATCTTTAGGCCTTTTCAGGATCACCTTGAGTTGGAAATAAATTCCAGCTCTCCTCAAGAAGAAGGAACTGAAGCTGATGAACTGGTAAATGCTGGCAAAGCTCAAAGCAGTCACATTGAATTGCTTCACTCAGTCAAGAGCAGAACAGATAGTCCCAATACAACTGAAGACAGTGACGTGTTCACAAGTGTTACAAGCATAACAGACCTGGACAGTCCATTAAGTACTAGTATCAGTGAGTGCTCTGACACTGAAATCCCCAGCAATTATTTGACTGCAAGCACACGGTCTGGAACAACAAATCAAATAGAAATTCCTAGCATGAGCTCTTCTAGTGTGGTTCTTGATGGAGACAAGCATCCTGTACATACAGACTCTTGTCTGTTAGCCATCTCATCAAGTCATTGTAGCATCAATAGCTTTGAACTGTCAATCCTTCTTCTTGCAATTCTGGAAAACCTAACCTGTCATGGCAATGTATCGCTCAGTGATTGCAATCTTTTGATGCATACCAGTGGTCAACTGATTGACATTGTCTTTTCCCTCAGTGATGCAAGACACAAGAGTGCTGGGGTGTTTTGTGAGTGGGAACCTGGAGCAGTTACTTCAGTTCACTTAGCTACATTAAGAACAGTATTCTCAATTCTCTATACTGCATGTCGAAACCCAAAGGCTGCCAAACAACTGTCAAAAACCTCATATGTTCAGAAACTTTTGCAGGTGATCGCAGATGGTTGTTTAGACAAAGAATTCCTGACAACCATTCAACATTTTGAACTTGCTAAACTTGTTACTGGGATCAGTGATGAGGAAAAGGAACCTAACTCCAAACTTCTATCTTCAGATGTTTGGAGTAGTTTTCAAAATGAGCTGCTCCTTGGTTGCTCTTTACATGGTCTCCTTCTCTTTGTAATGACATGCATTCATTATGGTACCTTGGTCAATTCCACTCTTTATGTTCTGTGCCACGAGATTTTTGAACAATTTTCGTCCAATGGGGGTTTTGACTTCCTTGTTACCTTGCTTCTGAAATTGGACGAGGTTTACTCACACGAGGTAAATCTAGAAAGCATGGAAAATGACCCGAACTTTCAGCTGAAATCATTTGCTCGAAGAATTGAACAGTACCCGAGAAATCTCTCAAATCGGATTGTAAGGAACTTAGGCAAGATGATTTCAATGTTGAAAAAAGGCAAGACCAGCTGCAAGAGTTCCCGAGAAGCTAGCAGTAGAAAGACTTCAGTGGTCTCGTCAGGGAACCCTGTCACACAGGATGATGTGTATGAAATGTGTGGAGTGTACCTTCCATCTTATGAGGTGGAGGAGAGTTCAGAGTCTGCTGCAGATATGGAGTATGAAAAACAGAGGCAAGACCAATTGCCAGGTATGAGCTAAAAGTTAACTGGAGCAGATGTAGGGGAGGGGTGCAGGGGGTGCTCACCCTCCCTGCCCCCTCCCGCCTGCGGCTTTCTCTTTGAGATAGTATTCTGGAATAAAACAAACTAACAAACAAAACAAAACAAAACAAAAGAAAAATTATTTGGTTTATTGGGGTCGAAGTCAAACATGAGACAAAGGTGAGGAATTTATGATTGTATAACGCCTGAGAATGATTGCTTGGCATTGAAGTTCCAAACGTTATCATTCTTTTCTTCAGCAGACATCAGTTACATCGTTCCATCGTGGTGTACCACCTCTAAGAAAAAGAAATTCTAGATCTACCCCTATTGCTAGCGGGAAAGCACGTCAGAATCGTTTGCTCTAAAGAGGTGCCTGCTTATCACAGGGTTGCAGGACGCTCTTTGTAGACGATAGACAGAGAAGAATAATACAAGCCCCCCTGTCAACTTGTTCGTTTACTATGGAGTCTACTGTCGCCTATAAAATCTCTTACCGCCGTCTATCGGTAGCCACTTATGGCAAAAGTTATTGAAACTCCTGTTGTATGTGATAGATGATTAACATAAAAAGCATGGTGGTGATCATGTTGATATCTTACTTTAAGGGACTTGTTTGTATTTAACTAATGGTAAACACCACAGCGTACACTATTGAGTTATGGATGCACGCGGGAGGTTGCTAAGCACGAAAGAAGCGCAAGAGTCGCTCGAGGCGATAGCCGAGAGCGACTCTAGCTTCTTGAGTGCTTAGCAAACCTCCCAATTGCATCCATAACTCAATAGTGTATGCTGTGGTGTTTACCATTTGTTTTATAACATAACATTGATACATTGTAGCTAAAGAGTTCCCTTTTATTAAACAAATCTTACGCGACCAGAAAAAACAAGCGCGCGCGGAAAAATAGTCTTTGCATTTGCTCACGTCAGCAGCGTATACCCATGGGCAAATGGGGGAGGCTAAATTGACCAATCAGAGCGCGCGCTTTACTTTGGTTATGTTATAATATGTTGTTCGTTATGTTTTTCTTTCACCATCAGAAGACCTCTGCACAGTTTTGAGACCTGCCATAACGCTATTGACAGTCTTCAAGGACAGCAGGAATTCAAAGTTTAGATTGAGCATACTAAAATGCTTGGAAAAAGTTGGAATTTGCCCCTGTGTCTCGCCAGATGCATTGGTGACAACTCTTCTCAGTAGGTAAAGATATTTTTTGAACACTTTTAAAGTGGTCGTCAAAGGTAAAAGAGTGAATGTGAATGGACAGGCGTTTATGATTAAGTCGTGTGGTTTGTGGAGGTTTCGCCCCATTGGATCTTACCTCTGCCTATTTTACGAGTTCACACCCCCGAACAAGTTTGCACCCACCTACACCAGTTCTCCCCCAAATCTTTCGATTAATTTCCTAATACGGCAGAACATGTTCCTTTTCTGTCTAGATCCTGATGTGTTTGAGATAGATATGCATAATTCTATTCCTCTTCATTCTTTCTTGCAGATTTGTAGACCAGCACAAGGACTTACAAGACGTTATTCTCAGAATTACCAACCACATGGTGCTCACAGAAATTGACGTTATGTATGATAATTACGATGTTCTCCGGTCACCAACTTTTCAATTTAAAACGGGTCAGAGATTTCGCACAAAGTCAGCTAAAGAGAGCCCTTACAAAAGTGATAGTGGCTTCTCTGCTAGTGATTTATGTGTGCAAATGAGAGATCTGGCAAGCGATAGGAAACCTAACTGGGCTTGTCTGTCACAATACTGTGCTCTATTGTCGTACAGAGACACAGATGTTGCTGTAGAAGTTGCTAAGGCTCTGAAGCCTTTGGCTATTTTGGGATCGAAACATTTGAAGGCTGAGCTTTTCCGCATGGTGGTTCTCCCGTGCATGTTGCGCTTCGATGGGATCTTCACAGACGAGGTTGTTGAGCCGCTGAGAAAGATCAGAGCAAGGACTTGGACAGGAACATCCACATCGGAGTGGCTTGAGCAACGAGGCAAATCGTTCAAGGGGAACACCTTTGCTGGCTTTGGCGTAGACTTTTCGGAACAGGTCCTTGGACACGATGAGATTTGTGCAGAGGTTCTTGAACTTTGTATTTGTATGCTAACCTCGCTTCTCGCTGGTTCTGAGTCTCGAGCACTGTTCCTAGACTGCGGTGGTTTGAATGAACTACAGAGCTTTCTGGCATTACCACAGCTCCAGGAACCAGTTATACAAGTGCTGGAGTTCTTGGCTGATGTTGAAAATCATGAAGCAATGGGGAAGCGACCTCATACAGAGAGTGACGTCCTCAGTGCAGGATCTCAAGAGTCAAGTGGAGATAAATGTGGCGACAAAGTCTGTTGCCGCAGCTTCCTTTCTTTACTTCAATTTACCACATCATTTGTTGACGAAATGAAGTCACCTGAACTGCCTCATATAACATCTTGCCATCGGGTGGAATCATCATTGGGAGTGTATGTTTGGAGATCGTGTCTTCGCTTGCTGGTTTCAAATGAGTTGTTCGGTGAACTGTTTCTAGAGGGTGGTGGAGTAGTTTTCAGTTGGGAGTTACTCCATCTTTTGCTTGAAATATTTCATGGTGCCTTTTTCACTCATCACACAGAGGAGAATCATGGAATTGATATTCAGTGCACCAAAGAGCTTGTGAGCTTGTTTGAGTCAGTTATGGCCGTCTGTATCAGAATGGCACACACTAAACAATGGAAGAATGTAGAGGTAAAACTGCATCAAGTATATGGAAAGGAGTAAGCTGAATCTCCCATGAAGGCCATTTGGCAATCCTGAAGTTTCAAGGATCTACACAATTAATAGTTCTTCCCTACAAATATTATAAATTTCTTTCTAAATTAGTTACGAGAAATTTGGCAATGAATCGAGACAAAGCTGTAAAGCTCAGTGTTTGTTCTCCCACCTGGTTGTTGGAAAATATTTGGTTTTTGTTATCGATGAGTGACCTGTTAATCTTGTTTGAGAGTTATAGGTAATTTCCCGGAGGTTCTTTTAAATCTCTCCCGTTTTCGAAGATTTCGGGAGTATCACGAATTAACTAGTCTCACCTCGTCATTCGGCATGCGGCATGTCTTCGTAAAGTATTCGCTGTCCACCAAAGAATTTAAATGACACAAGAGGTACCCATAACTCTTTTTGGGAGACTGAGTTACATTCCATTCGAATAGAAAAAGTGTGTTTTTTTGCACATGTATGAAACCGACTACGATAATATTTTAACGTTTTTTTGTTTCTCAGGCACTTCCAAATCTTGACCATCTGGTAGAGGAGGTCAGGAAATTATTCTCGCACTCGGAGACTTTGCAGAGATCTCTTAGCAAAGGATTGAGTGAATGTTTTCTCAAGGCATCGACGTGGCAGCTGGAGGCGTCAGAGGGTTTGGCTTTGCTCGGATCGGAAATTATACGGCAAAGAGAAGTCGTTTTGAGGAAAACAAGCCACGGGGACAGTCAAGAGGTTCGGCCGAGATTTTATGTTGATTTATATTAGTATAAAATTGATGAAGCGCATGCCAATTTTCGCAATGCAGTTTTGCGGCTTCTCTATTCTTTGACGCTATGTCAACTGATCAAAGTGCTTGCTTTGTTTCGACTTTCTCTTTGTAAATAATTACTGCTTTCCACCGACAAGCCCCTGTATTACGATAGGTTTGATTTAAAAAGGCAGTCTACCGGCCAAAGAAGGGCATTTTATGTTATTGTAGGTTTAAATGATCCCAAGTAAATGAATATTGGAGAGTAGGTGCTTGATATGTAGTAGAAACCTTTCTTCTACTCATTTATTTTTTACCTCTCGTGATCTAAGTTTGAAAGTTGGAGAATTGAAGACGAACAGGAGAAATCCACGTATATTACAGTGGTAATGGGGTGGCTGGCTAAAAGAACTTTTTTCAAGATGGTAATGCTTCAATCGCTCTTCTCTGTAGGAGTGGTCCAATCTATTAGACGATGATGACGACGAAACAGATGGGAACCAAAAAGCCGGCGAGTCAGTGGTCGAGGAAGGTTACGATGCCGATCAAGAAGCTGACTCCGACAGGAGCGATGAAACAGAACATAAATCTCCCAGGAACAAGAAGCAGGCTAGACAGAAGAAACGAAGTCAGTTTCCCAAGCAGCTTGAGCACATGTCGAAAGGATTGGTTATTTACCCACGGATTTGCAACGTACTTTTTCAGTTATTGAAGGTGTGCTATGGCAGCAGGGTACAAGAAGGAGAATCCGAGAGGTATGCACTTGCAGTTAAGCTGTAACTGATTGTTTAGTTTTACGAACATCGTTGGTCCTCGAATACCTAAATATATGTTCAGTGCTGAAATGCAAAGAAAGGTATTGCTTTAAAAAGAACATGTCGCCATCATACAGTACATGTAGATAGGTGGCACAAATGGAGTCCTCCTTTTCGTCATGTGGCCTATTTCTTTCCTCGTTTTAGTGTGGGTGTGGTTCACCATGCAGTTGAAAACCTTCTTCTTCTACTCAGCGATTGTGAAGAAAATTGTCGGCTTCTGTGTCAACATGTAAGTTAAATCATACGCTTTATCCAGGGAGGGTTCTGGACTATAGCGTGATACTTACCTAATGCTTTTTTTGATATATACGTTAAAACTGTTTCAGAGATAAATTTAGTTTATCTTTGTTAAGTCCTTTACTCTCTTATTGATCCTTTTTTTACGTCACTTTCTTTTCGTATTCAGGGATTTCTTGGGGTTTTCCTTGAGTGCTTTGGTGATGTCATGATTAGACAAGAGCAGTCACTACAAGGTAAGGCTATTTTTAGTAATAGAGTGACTTTAATTACTGGTAACTTTATTTTACCTATATCTTTTGGAGGTTTAAGTCTGACTTCAACGTGCCAAACATTCAATTGAAGGATGTTTTTCCCGTATGGAGTGGGTTTCTTTTTTCTTTAGAAGGAATTGATGATGAGAAAACGCTGTGAATACCATCTGAAAGAGAACAACCCTCAATTCTATACCAACGTTCACGAAGAGGAAAATCTTTTTTTAAATGACCTTCAGGTGGATCCGTTTATCCCGCCGGAGCCCCAATACTCGCCCTTTTAATTCTCCCATAGTAATGCTTTTGCAGAGCGGAATAGAGCAATTTTCAGTTCACCGCTGAAAGTAATCCGGAACTTCGTATTTTCAGTTCTCTTTGCATCGTGATTGGTCCAAAAAACTCGCCTTTTCCTCTTAACCAAGCAAATGCATGACTGAAATTAATCGTAATTTGTGCACACGTGTTTTTCCGCCCAGGCAGTTTACTTGCTTTTACATTAAATTCTGATTGGCTCGTTGTGACATATTCCTTTGCTCTGATTGGTCGTTAGTGACTTTGATTTTGGTTTTGCAAGAATCGATCCAAATACCCTCAGTAGCGTTACTGTTTGACTTCACTGTGCGATAATTTGGTAAAACCGGAGTGTTCTTCTGACTTGTAACTTAGTGGTATTGTTATTGATTTAGGTCTTCAGACTCTCGTGATGGAGGTGTTTGTTTGTCTTGCTTGTCACAACATTACAGCTGCTGAACTGTGGGACTTCTTGGCATTGTTTAACTCCCCGGACCCCCCGGTGGTAAGAAAGTCTGAAAGTGAGCCATATCACCATAATTTAAGTATCGTTTAGGAACGTTAAAGCAAACAATTACCTTGAGATGAAAGGAAGCCGTGAAATAATAGTTGGCTGAAAAAAAAAAAAAAAAAAAAAAAAAAAAAAAAAAAACTCAAAAGAAGTAAAACCAAACTGAAACGTCACGTAAATGGTTACAGGTGGAGAAGATTGACAGAAATTGTCAATAATCCTTTGAAAAACCTGACGTGCATTCCTTGGCATCTTTCTTAGCTGTTTTTGCCTGCTGTAGCTTCACGCTTCTTCATTAGAAGTTAAGAATCGTGATTTGTAGGTTGCCTGGCAAGAGACGGATAAAAAGTCCTGCATTTAGAAATATTTAGAAATTATTTTGTTGTTCCAGTTCACGCCAAAATTTTTTGTTACAAAAGCCTTTAATAAAACGAAGCTACAAACATACGAACAGAAAAAAAACCTCGTCCGGTACCTTTCATTTTGACATTGTCGTCAGGCTTAGATTGCACCTCGACACCGCGCTAACTTTCCTTTGTATTACTACCCCTCATTAATTGCATAAATACCCAACTGTTCAAGTAACATTACAACTGGGGAATTCTGTTGATGATGTGCGTAATGAAAGTATTTGATATTGATTTGCTTTCGTGGTTTTCAGCACTTATTATCTTCGGCTTTATCTGAGGTTGCTGCCAGAGCCAGCGCCAATCCTGGTCCTGCTTTCCTGATGTCATTTCCATATCGAGCCAAGGAATCGGAACGACGAGCTACAACATCTGGTACAGTTGGTAAAGCTGCCATTGGAAAAGGGAAGAAAATAAGAGGGAAAATGTCTCTAAAAATGTTAGTACCGTATCAAGGCCGCTATTTGTAAGGCTAAAGTCAATGCAAAATGTTGTTTCCCATGTTAGGTCGGCATTTGAATAAATGACTATCTTGCGTCCTTCTAAAAGAATTGTAAATGTTTCGCACACAAAGCCCATTTGATATTGTAATTAATTGACTGAAAAGATGTCGAGAGATTATACTAGAATCTTGATCATGCAATCGTATTGGATAACTGGATAGCTGCGGTAAAAATTTTGAATGTTACGATTCTTTTCTTTAATATAGCAAGTCGCTCTCTCCACAACCAAGCGATGGTGACAAGTCTAGTGAGACAGACAGTATACGAAGTGGTAGCTCTGCAAGCTCCCGCATATTTCAGGTTTCTGGGACTCATGATAAGTATCTGAAAAGAGTCCACAAAAAGTCAAAATCCTCCATGGAAGGATCAAAGCGCCGTGGAAGTTCCAAACGAAGTACAAGAAAGCAGCTTGGAAGCTCCCCCACCGGATCAAGCTACTCTGCTGACTATGAACTAACAGAGGTACTTCACTTTCAAGAGCGGACTCATTTACCCTCGCCATTTCTGTTGCATGCTGTCCAGCTACCTTTTCGTGGCAGCCTTCCTCGCTCTGAGAGGGGGTTCAGTATTGCCATGTGGATCTGCTTGAATAGTCCCAGTTTAGGAACGGAAGTGGATGATGGCTTAAAATATCCGAGTGGAGATTCGCCGGGACAGCTAGTAAATTCCATGGAAAGAACGGTGCTGTCAAGAAAAGAGAGAATCGTCCATTTGTGCTCAGTTGGTTGTAATAAAATCCTTTTTGAGATTTGGATATTTCCATCCGAGGGAGCTGTTCTCATAAGGTATGTATGGGTTATCAGAGAATGTCAGAGGAGGAAAAAACAAACAAAAAGTCAATCAGTCAATCAATAATTACTGCAATGAATGTTCAGCAAACAAGTATGAACAAAGGCGACCACTGCACGGAAGTTTATGTGTTTATGCAGCTTTTAACGGTGGCGAGGGCTCTTTGGTTGGAGTGCAGACAGTAGGATTGCTTTTACATATTTTTTTTGTGTATATGTGTGTGTTTGATTTTGTTTTTGGTTTATGACGATGGCAATGAAGATGGACCAAAAACCACAAAAGTAGCAGTACCTCTCTGGAAGTGCTAAAACAACGAATGATAAGATTACCAGCGTTGACGAACGGACAGTGGCACCATCTGGTCGTATCCTTTACCCAATCAAAGGTGTCGGCTGAAGAGCAGAAGGATACACAGGCAGACAGTTTACCTCTCTCAGAAGTAAGACTCTAACGTTCCTCGATACAATGAACCTCAGATTTTTTATTCGTTTTATGAGGCAATCCTAGACGGTAGTACTTTCATTCATGAGACACCTTCGTGACTCTTAAGAACGTCCCTCGCATAGAAATGCCACTTAATAAAGTTTAATGGAGGTGACCGATGCAAAGGTTATAGGATTTGCTTTTTCACTTTTCAGTCAGGATATTTTTTTTTTGACCGTAGAATGGAGGTCTCCCTGATTGGAAGTCCCAAGTTAACGATATTTGCTTAATACTTTTTCCTTGTCCAACGCTTATGACGAAACGAATTACACATCTTTATTTGTTCGGCAACTGAACTCAAAATATTGCATCCTTCATATATTAATGACAATTGTAACTCCCCTACCACAGCTCCTCATAGTGGTGGATGGAACTGAATCAACAGTTCATGACCTTGGGCCTCCCCTACTATGGCACGAGGAAGCCAAATTTACCCTGTCGACACTGCTTCTTGGTCACGTGACCTATACTGACGGCGGCAAATCTCCGAGGGAAGTTCTTCATGAGGGATATCAGATTGGAAATGTGTTTGTTTTCGCTGGTAGGTTATGTTAACTTTTTTAGTACATCGGATGTTGGGTGACAGCTGCGTCTGACAGCGTTAGAACGGAAAGGAGGGCAAAAGACAGAACTTACAGCTGATCCGGAAAAAATTGTAAGGCTGGGTTGGGTTTTGGAGACATGATTGCAGTGCTGATTCCGCCAGTATGCAGGACAATTTTCTCAGCTAGACCTGGTATGTGGTCCGGTTGTCCAACGAGTACCTTTGTGGCTCGGTTGGTAGAACGTCCCTCTACGATTACCGAATTGGGTGCAATTTGGTGGAACAAGGCTCCCGTTAGATGTCTTTTTTAAGCAATTTTCCAAAAGCTTTAAACACCCTTCTGCAAGCTGGGACACAGTGTAGCTCGTAAAATTGCTGCTAATGATCTGACTAAATTCGCATCTTCGTCAAACCCGCATCTCCACTATTGAAATTAGTGGTACTACGATTACAATACCCTGAATTTTTATTTCAGAGAAACCATTTAAAATCTCCAAGCTCGCAAAGCAGCAGTCCTCATCATCAAATGATTGGCTGGTAGAGAAAGGGGAAGCATTTTATTTATATTCCCTTGGACCAAACAGCGCGAGTATGGGACAGCTTAGTAAAGACTTTAACATGTTAGCAAGTCACACCTCAAACGAGTAAGTTGGTAACCTTATGTAGGTTCGGGCGTACAGACAACATTTGTTTTGAGGTCATCCTGCTTGCTAAGATAGACAGGTGCTTAATCCCCAGCCCAAACTACAAGGAACTGTCCGAGAAAAAAAAAAGACAAAACAAAACAAAACAAGCAAACAACTATTATAGCGAAAGTTGATTGGACTGAATGGTGGGCAGCAAAGGTCTATTAATGTGTCAAAGTAACGCGTGTTGGGGACATTCTTTAATTTTTTTTCCTTTTTTTTTCAACTGTTGTAATGATCCGCTAAGTTTTCCTCTATTTTAGACTTCTCTTGTTCTCTTCAGTAATCCTGTAGAATAAATTGTTTTTATAACGTCTTCTAAATTTGTTGTCTTTATTGTTCGTTTTCCATTGTAATTAACCAAAATCCTTCTTCTGTAGGACTGTTTGCTGTCTAGTTATTGAAGAAGATCGAGTCCTCATTTAATAGTGGTGTCCAATAACGCACTACAATGAAATCTCTATCTTGTAATTGTTGTAAATATCTTGATTTGTGTTTTAGCCCCACGCAATCGTTCATGGAAGCTGCTAACTTATGGTCTCGTCTGGCCATCACTGAACAAGCTGTCGCGGCAAATCTACCTCTAGGCTTTCTCACGAGTCCTCATGTTGTCGTACCTGATCTAGAGTTGTCACTTAAGGTAAGGCACAATATTAAATGCAAGGGAATGAAAAGCTAGTTTTGCGTTTTGTAGCACAAAGCAGCACTCACTCTACCAAAGGTGTCCTTTCGAGGAAACCTCGGCCTAATGCTTTCGCGCTTGACCCTCAACCGAACCCTTGACATAATTGTGGTGTTCCTTGGACAAGTACTTTCACGATATATTTTCACGCACTTTTTACGATGGCTCCCTCTCTCTTGGAGGGCGGACTAGATTCCTGTGTAATAAGAGGAAACTGCCACGAAAACTGGGATCAGTACTGAACCACAAGGTTCGCACGACTTAACACTTTACATTCAAACATCAGTATGTACATCCTCCATGATTTCTTTAAACATTTTATCTAGCACTGATCAGGAGATTTTTTCTGAAAAATTAAGAGCTTCTTAAATTGGTGGTCATTTCCGTTTTTTTTTTTTTTTATCGTAACTGGTTTGTTTGATTAAGCGGTGACACTGCAAGGTGAAATTAGAGGCTGGTCACTCGTTGGGATTAAAGGGTTAAACTTCTTTCTGTAACCGTTATTTTTTTCATTTTTTTTTCTTTTTATTTTTGTAACCGTTCATTTTGAAAGACGTGGTATGTTGATATACATTTTAGAAGCGGCTCGCTGCTGTGTACTCGCCTGCTTGTCCGTTGCGATTCCAGCAGTATTCAGAGCTGCTGACCAGCGAAGAAAGGCAAGGAAGACCAGCGTCTTTGAACATCTCAGAGCAGAGACTTAAACAAAGCGAGTCTGAATCCTGGGAAGGTGATGCAAAGATCTCTTCTGGAGTTGAACCTCATCGACAACAGACTCTTTTGGAATCAGCTCATGATGTCGGAGGGATTGGCGTCTTCATTTTTCTTTTTGCTAAGGTCTGTACACGTATAGAGTCAAGACTAGTTCAGCAGAGACGGCTTTACGCGAACAAAGGTCATCCTGCAATGGTATTGCTCGAAAACGCGTTTGGTCTTTCAGTTCATCATCTTTTATTAGTTATTCAGCTTGTGTGATATTTACTTAAATCCTCCTTTTTCCATCTCCTCTCCATGAACACTTATTAGGGAATAAACGAAAACCATGGCCACGGTGGCAATGATTTTCAAATCAATTTGAGTAGCCACCCAGACTGCTTGAAAAGATCCCTACTGACTAGGGCCTTTGTTTGGAAATCTCTCCGCACAGGTGGTGGAACAAACACAAGAGGAAAAAACACAAGCGGAGGCCTTGTCAGTTGTTTTGTCGCTTCAGTATTTCTCAGTCTTTCACGCCCGAGCCATGGACGAAGAGTCTGGGTTCGCATTGCTGAAAAGGATTCTGCTTTCTCCCGAATGTAAGATTGGTTACCATACGCTGAAGGTGAGTTCTTTAATAAATGACTCATTGCCTCTCTCGTTTACCGTTATGCCGGATCTTGTTTTTTGGGTTGTTAGATCCCGGTGTATAGAACACTTCGCTTCTATTGGTATCAGCCATTCAAGCACATACGTGCAACTACTTAAAAAAATTTGGGTGGTCAATAGTCCTAGTGCAACGCAATCGTTTTCCGTTTGAAAGCGGCTGGATAAACTTATAGACGGAATTTTTGGTAATCAATGTCCTGGAAGCTAGGTAAACTGCTCGTTCTCATGTCTTTTCCGACTCCAGTATTCAGGATAAAATATCAAAAAGAAATATATCTGTCTTATGATTTTCTGTCGTACAATTTGGTTTCTACTACATGTAGCTGTATTTCTCTTTCGTTTGAAAGTTCAGAATCGTTCCTTTGAAGTGAATACGGCCGTATCATGGCTATTTCCCGTTTTACTGACTGAACCGAATCTCTATGTAATGTTTCTTTGTTTCTCGCTGTTTCTTTTTTTATATTTAAACGAGATGTTCAAGTCTTACCCAGTTCCATTCTTCTCACGGTAGGTGCTGATGGAGGCGGCATGTGATAGCGATGTATTCAAACCAACAAACCTGGCCGATGATCCCATAATGCTGAACATAGACTCCACTGCTGTGGTTCGGAACGTCGCAATTTTTCAGCATTTCCTGTTGAACTGGAAAATCTGGGAGAGAGCCAAACAAGGTGTACTGGAAATGCTGTTAGCCACCATTGACATTTTGGTGCACGGAAGCCACAGTTATTACACTTTTAATATCATTCAGTTCCAGAAGGCGCAGCTCGTGCAGCAAATCCTGATTGGATGTCAGGTGAGATTATCTCAGGAGTGCGGTGAAGAAAGGGTTCTTGTTTGAAACCGAAAGCTTCTTTTATCTTAAACTATTCGGCCGCGAGACGCATCATTTTCATTGCTTAATCAACTCTCACGTCCTTTATTCTTTGTGGGGAAAGCAGTTTACTACTTCGGGTGATTTTTTCCGTTTAACGTGACTTCCTCCCCTCAGTTGGCAGAGGGTCCCCCAAGTATTTTGTAGGTAAACGTTCCCTTCGAGAGCCCAATCCCCCCTTCTACACGCAGATGACATGAGACTTCTTCCGCACGATGACATGTTTCGAATTGTGGTGTGACTCTGATTTTATTGCTGTTTCACAGGAGAGACAGAGCGAAGAGTGCAAGGAGATTCCACGAGTAATAAGCTCTTTGTATGTGAATATCATCCAAAATGTCATGGGCAATCCCCCTGACCTGACTGTGTTGAAGTCTGTTTGCGAGTTCCTCATTGCTGTCCACCCGACGAATGACATCATTCGACTGCATGCGCCAAGCAGATGTTATCTCAGAGAGCACTCTCTCGACATTTGTAAGTAAAACACATTCATCTCGTTGTAGGTAGTCAAGCTAGCCTACATTCTCAGACACCCAAATTCTCAAAAGCTTAAGATTAGATGTTAAAGATTGCTTTTGTGTAATTTTTCTTTTTCATTAATTCATAACCCTCGCTGGTTAGCTACTAAATCTCACCATACTGAAAAAGAGTGTTTACCCCGAACATTTCTGAAGCGTTATTACCAACTGTGCTGTTGTCCTCGTGTCATGTACAAATACCTTCCTTCCTTTTGTGTTAACAGCTCTGGGTTCAAACCGTTCTTTACCTGCAGCCAGTAGCTCCATTTCTTCTCCTCGCACCACTCCAGTTCGCTCGACACACTCACCAAGTCCGTTTCAGTTTACCAGCCCAGCGAGGAACCCCTCAAGAACCCCAATGAGCCGGTCGCTCAGTTTTGAGTCTATTAAAAACAAGGATTTGCAAAGAAAACTCGCCGATCCACTGCGTGTTCCAGAAAAGCGAGGGCTTTTAAAGACATCCTCTCGTAGCGTAACTGAGCTCAGCAAATCTGTTACATCAGGGTTAGAAGCTGGTGGACAAACTCATTGGAGTTTTCACGAGACACCAAAGGGAACAATGGACGACAGAGATGTATTTCAATTGAGCGTGTCCGTGGAGATGACACCTGGAAGCTCCGGCAAAGCTTCTGTACCTACAGAAGTATTTTCTGTGCCTAAAGGAAACAGAAACCTCAGTGTCATCGTTCCACAGCACGAGGCCAGCAGCAGCGAGGGGCTGAGTAGCAGCTCTCTTGTACTTCACGGAAGCCCCTTTAGAGAGTCCGACCCCAGAATGAGCCCCTCTCCATTGAGGAGCGCTGCCGTACCTTTGGGTATATCTTACCCAGGGGTACGCCCCATTCCCGGCAGCAACCCCATGGTGATAAGGAAATATGAATCAGTTCCTAGTTACGATGCACAGTCCAGTTTTGATCCCACGGATTATGACTTTATAAACGACTCTGATTTCAGCTCTTTACAAAGCAGTGTGGTCAATCCAAGTTCCAATGATGATTATGTGGTGGTGGAAGGATTCCCCGGGATTCAGTCAAGTACAAGGTAAATCTTCAAGACCTGTCTTAAACAGTCTTAATTACACAATTTTATCTTCACACTTTTACTTGCTATGGCATTTGTAGAGCGCAGCTTAGAATAAAATGTTCAAAGAGGCTTTTAATGACGGCATTTTATTCCTGCCCCAAATTAGAACGACGCGTCACACTGAAGCGAAGTGCCAGTGTCAGTGGGCTCTTTGAAATCAAATATATTGGTGATCAAAAGATTGTTGGGCCGTTCACATTTAATGCTCAAAAAAGTCTCTAAACAACACCAACAATCATCACCGTCCTCCTCCCCCTTCCCCCTCGCTCTTTAATGTGTTCATTAGCATCCAGTAAGAAGACGACTTCCCCTTTGAAACATATGTGATTGGCATCTTCTCCCCAGAGGGAAATGATGACAACGAAGGAACGTGATCGGGAATAAGCAAAGAGCAGTTTTCAAGTGAACGTCGAAAACTCAAAACCAATGTAATCACCGCAACCAATCAGAACAAAGATCTACATTATTATTAGCCAATGATAACTCTATCTGAAAACGAGAGAACTGCTGAAGGTCCGGGAAAATGCAAGTGACCAAGTCGCGATTGCGTTTAGTTTCACATCTGATTGATTGAGAGGATAACGCGAGTTTTCTGGACCAATCACAGAGCGGAGTAAAATAAAACCAAAGCAATCCCGGATTGCTTTTGACAATCGATGGAAAATTATCCTAAACTACAGTTAAATCTTTTGTTAAAGACAGGAGAGAAGGGAAAGAGGAATAGGGCGAAGTTTGGATCAAGATGCCAGTTAGAACTGTAACATTTTAGTACAGGAAGCTGAACAGCGAGGAAAAGCCTTGTTTCATGAGTTTCGTTGTCTCTCACGTAGGACATACTGTCCAACCCGTTCAGACAGCGTAGAAGCCGTTGATGCGATGATAAAATTGAGACTGGGACTGATGAAATTGCTGGAGAAGAAACTGTTCAATCTGCCGTCTGAGCATGTGCCGGCGGTGATTGGTGAGGTTCTCAAAGCTGAATACATTTTGGTGTGGGCTTATCATGATTCAGATGATGTCAGGGAACTTGCCATCAGGGTAAATTTCTCTTTTTTCAATTTTGGGCCTTTTCAGATTGTACTGTTAAATTTGATAAAGGATCTTCCAAAATTCCTTTATCGTTTTTGGGATTTGAACTCCACTGTCTTGAGCCATTGAGATCAAAGATTGTATAAAGACTTTCATTAGCTAGGTAATGCTATCTTGAAGCATTCCTGCAAGCATTTAATTCTTTTGAAGCAGTGCCTGTCGACTAGACTGCAACCTGGGTACGTTTCTAAGCATTAGAACAGTTATTCAACTCAAACCTTTCACTTAGGTCATATATTTTCTGTCATGCGTGAGGCGTGAGTAGTCCAGTGGTCACAGCACTGGACTCTGGGTCGGACGGCCCGGGTTCAAGTCCTGGCTGGGGCACTACGTTGTGGCCTTAAGCAAGTCGCTTCACTCACATTGCTTCGTCTTCTCGGATAAGACGTAAAGCCGTAGGTCCCGTCTCCTGGAGGGTTTGGGGTAGGAGACGTTAATTTCCCACGCACGAGATTGCTGTGTGGTGGATGTCCTCCCCTGGGTGGGATGGGTGGGAAGGTGAGATCGTTACATGGACAGAAGCGGCTGCCGAAGGCGCTTGATAAAATGCTGACGTCCGATCTCAACCTTACTACATTGAGACTGAAAAGCCCCTTTAGGGGAGCTTCAATTAACGTTGCACTTAACATTGCACTCATGCATCTGCTCGAAGAGTAATCTCTTGTCAATACTTTTGTTCAGATTCTTTTCCAGTTTTTACAGAAGGCAGAGCCTAAACGGTTTGACCAGTTCTTAAGAATCCACGGCTTCCATCTGTTAGCGAACCAGGTAAGACAGTGTTCCCACCAATAGCGTAGCTCCATTTTTCTGTGTATAAACCACATCATCCCAAGCAACTTCTGGCAGCTGCAGCCATATGTTTTATATGGACACTCTGCAGTCATTGATACCATCCCCATGGCATCAACGAACGCTTTCTATATAGCTTATTTATTCTTCTTAAGCATATAATAAGTCATATACAATTTTTGTTGATGTGTTGTAGCTTTATGATCATCCGGTGACAAAGCTGTTACTAGAGGGCTGTCTTTCGCTACTTGTGGATCGTCCTGTTGACTTAAACAAAGACTAGTAAGTTCAACTTATCAATAATCAGATGCGATGCCAGACCAATTAACATCGTCCTTTAGCCTTTTGATTCTTTGCCCGAACTGATAAAAAACTGCTACAGAAACCTCTCTACTAAGAAATGTCTCTTAGCAATAGGAATAGAGCAATAACGAATTATTTCTTCTGCGGATGGAAAAATTGAATTTTTTTTCCTAAAGGAGCTTTTTACCCTACGTAAACCAAAGTTAATTTATGATTATTGATTATATTGGTATTAATCGCTTTTGATTATTAATGATATCTTTTGCTTATCCACAGTGACTATTCAGGTGCAGAAGTTAGAGGCCTGGCCTCTTCAGTCCGCCCCAAGGGTGTGGTGCCCCTTATGGCCCTGTTAGAGAACAGTGTGTTAAAGCCATCTCTGTTTCATCTTTTGATCCAGCACCTTTGCCAGCTGTTCATCAAAGTGGATGAACTGTGCCTGCAGGCTGTTGATAACGGGTTGTTGGAAACCCTGTGTAATGTGATTTATGGACTTTGCACCTTACGACACAGGCAGAGGTAGAAAAATGTAACCTTGTCGGTTTTGATGATTGTTAATAATTTACTCGCGTTATGTTTTCATGTCGTCTTTCGCGAGAGTGAGACAAAAAAAAATCTGATTAATTGCCCAGTAAGGACTCTTATACCTTTTAGTTACAATTTTAAGGGCCGTGACTTTACTGAGTTACCATAAAATGTTGGAATGCTGCGCCACATGTTAGGTTAATAATGCAAATCTGCTCGGTCCCTTCTTCGGGTTTGTTAGGAAACCGTCTGACCTTCCAGACCTGGATGCAGTGATGGAAGACTTTCAGCAATTTGTTGTGTGTATTGTAAGGAAAGCATGCAGGTAACTGATTATTACGACCAATAATTATAATCTTGGCCTGTTATTTAATGGACAGATTCAACGGATAAATCGCTATTCGTTCGAGAAGTGTTCAGAGAAGCTACTGTTTTATCCGCTGGATAAGAATTTATCCTGTGATTAGCGTTATCAACCACTTGATCTATTAGAGTCTGGTGTTTGTTCAAATTTTTAAGCGACCAAACTGAGAGAATTCAGTATTAAGATTAACCTCCGTCAAATTAGCGTGTATCATTTTATTTGAAACTTGATGGATCCTTAAAGACACTAGCACAAGTATTTTTTTTAACAATGTTCTAAAACTCGGTTAAATAGGGAATATTAGAGGTAATAGGTTTTGTTTAGCGATCAAATCCTTACACTTTCATTTCTTCTAAACTCAGCACCAACGGCGACCTTTATTTTCAAATGTTTGAAGATATGCTGATTGCTTTGGAGAACCTGGAAGAGCAGGATCACAAGAAGAGAGGTGTGTCTCTTCTTTGAAAAGTTTGCGTACCTGTTGAACTGCATGCAGTTTAAATGACATTTTTCCCTTTTCCACAGATCACGATCCTTCTACATCATACTGTGCTCGATACTTTCGCTTGTTCGCTATTCAAGTGGCCTTACATTTCTTCCAAGAAGTCAGTAAAGGGGAAAGACCTGTCGGAGGAAAAAAGACAAAACCATCTGGACTGAGGTAATGACAATCCGAAACACCAACCACAACAACAACAGTTTTAATTTTTTCGTTCTCGAAACAAAAGTAACAGCTTCTCTGGTCCGTAGATAGTTGGTGCTAATCGAGGCGCTTTGGTTTATTATCTTCGTTAGTGTATTATTAGTTTTGTTGTTGTCATTATTTTTATTATGATTATTATAATTATTGTTATCATTATTATCATCTTTATAATTTACAGTAGTGGTGCATACGAAAAGTCTCCTGAAAAGACCTTTTTTTTTAACTGTAGGCGTGATTCTCTCAAAAGAAAACCACTGTCTTGTTCCAATATTGGTAACAAATTATACAAACACCATATTGCAATGATAAACGCCTACCATAGGGAGAGTTTTATTTTAAAGTTTCCTTTTGAGAACTTTTATTTGCCTGCAGATTGTCATTTCGTGGACCAGATAGTAACGCCGACCCAGTTCCTGCATTCACTCCGGTCTCCTCTTGGGTCAACTTGGACCGAGATCAGTTCAGATTGTGCCTGGATCCGAGCCAACTCAAGCAGTCCCCAACAAGTGCAAACTCTAATGAGCAGACGCGGCGTTTTCAAATCACGTGCCAGCTGGCTGTTCACTCAATAGTGTACTGTAAGACGTTCTTTCTCCCAGAGGACTTCATAGCCTTTCATTTCACTTCAGTCGCGATGGACGTCCATGAGGTATTGCGGCCAGGGATGGTGCGAGTTGCCGGAGCAGCCATTGAGAAGGAGTTTGCGCAGTTCGTGTTCAGTTTACTTCTGGAAATTTTTGATGCTTGTTTGGTAAGTAATTTTCGTACGCAGCACTGGTCAACATGATACACCTTAAACAGTCCCACGATGCAAAGTTGTGACTTACTCGAGATTCTTGAAATTGTAAACTACCAATGCAATTCCTGGTCGTGACGAAAGTTTTGCCACATACAACATAACGTTAGATAATTTACGATCGTCCAGCAACTTTTAAATCTCGTAATATATTATTGGAAGTAGGTGGCCCAGAGTTTAATGGTCAAAGATTTGGTGATTGTTTTTTTGCTGCTAAATTTTGCTTAGGTAATAGAAAATGGTTAATAATTATCAATATCATGTTCTGTTTTGTTGTGTTTTATCTTTAGGATGGAAGAAAGCGAGAAATTTACAAACTGTTCATCGTGTCTAAAGATCATTTGAAAGCACAGGTAAAGAATCAATTGTTTTCTGAAAACATTTACCTGAAGATCCTAAACTCTTTCGACAACAACAGGCAAAGTTTGATTTGCGTTGCTTTCCTGTTTCTTTTAGCTGGGCAAACTGCTGGTGTTCCTGTTGAATCCAAGTCAGGATTTGGACTTGTCGTATTTCGCGCTCAATCTTGTCCATCATCCACGTGCTAAAAAGATTATAGAGAATGTACTTACAACCAGCGGAGGATCAAAGGTAAAAATGAAAACAGGTAACCTTCTTGAAGCGCGGATGGCGCGAGCGATCCAATTGAGATTGGTTTTCAGTTTTAGGTTTGCATTTCAGTAGTTAAGATGATGGCACGATTTTCAAAATCAGTCACAAAGTGGAGTGAAGCAGTAAGAAATCCAGGATCACTTTCGCTACTCAATTAAGGATTATGTTAAACGTGGAAGTACATTATTGTAGTTTGTTTTGCCTCTCTTTTTCGCTTTTTTTCTCTTTCTAGCTCCGTCAACGCGCAGCAGTGTATGTTTTGAAGATTCTCGATGATGCTGGTCTCACTCTGGAACAGAAAAAGAACGCCGAGAACTTCAAAGCCTTGATGGGGTCTTTGAACCTGCAGTCGATGCGCTGGAGCGCTGACGAAAGCAAACTTGCTAATGACGAGGTCAGTGGGCGAAATATTCGAATAACGCCCGACCAGAGCTCCAGTTATCTACCTTCCAGCTTTCTACGTGTTTTACGCAATGCAAACGAAATTTTTCTCTAAGAGTTGCTATGTATCTCAGTTTCAGATGTGGGATCCCCATGGTATGATGCAATGGCAAAAGCAGAGAAGTGATGGTTATAAAAGGTCATAAAACGGGCCATTCATATTAACATGGTGTACTCTTTTTATATACCTTTTTGTTGGATAAGTAGTGTGTTCAGAGCGGCTTTTCAGTTTTTCGCGCCTTTTTCTTAGAACTTAGAGTTGTAGAATAATTTCTTTTTTTAAAAAAGAAAAAGTTTAGAAAATTAAGGATGCAAGTGCTGGGCAGCAATCACTACTTAGAGAAACATCTCATCACGGTAGGGGGCCTCAAGAAGTTACGGCAAAGAAACGTATCCGGAACAAACCCTCAGATATAATCTTTCTCGGAATTCGTGACTTGATGGCAAATATTTGAAATTGTGAATTTTTTTCCAGACTTGACAAGAGAACAGAGGAGCTTAGAAAGGCCATATCAACTGTTGCTAAAGATGTCACTAGAGTAGTGGTCGAGATCCAGGACACTAAGCGCCAGGCCCTGCTCAAACACACAAGGGACGCGCTTTCCGCGGAGGTCCAGATTCGTAAAAAATGGCGCCAACTTATTGAGCGACTCATCCATGAACGGTACGGCGAAATCACTGTTCTCAGTGTGACATAATAAAGATATCCCAATAACCATTTGGCGGAGATCTATGTTTGAAGCCTTATCCCCCAAAATTTGATTATTTATATTATCCCCGAACATTTCATTGTAAGCTAGTTGACAGATGATGGTGTTCTATCAGTTTGAAACCCTCCCACTGAAGAATTTGTCCTGTCTCCTCGCCTGTTGCTTTGTTTTGTTTTTGTTTTGAAGGTGTTATCCAAGAATATCTTAAAATAACTTTAAACAGTCAGCTTAATTAACTATGCTTGAAATAAATTGTTAGTGAAATTAACTGATTTGCTCAAAGACTTTAAGGAGAGTTGACATGTTAAGCACGTTTTGCTTCCTATTAGATCTGTGTGGTACGACGCTGAGCATTTTCCTTCATCGTGGAGACTGGACCCAACAGAGGGCCCAGACCGTGTGCGATGTCGCCTTCAGCGGTTTCATTTAGACATCGTCGAGAAGTATCTTATGAAAGAACACTGTGGAAAAAGTGAGAGGATATATTTTGGGTTCAATTTTGCGATTATAAGGCTTCAGTCATCCTAAGTCATAAAATCAATGGTCATAAACGCCAATGCAAGTAAGGTGTAGCCATAGTAGCTCTCGGTTTTGATCTTTGAGCAGTGGAGCTGTGAAGCAGTAAGCGGAACTGTTGCCGTCCTAATTACTTAAGTTCCTCATTTTTACTGTAATTTGCCGACGGCTGAAAGCAGACGGAGAGGAGTTAGATTTTCGCTGTCCGCCGTTTCCTGTCTTCTCGGAATAGCCGTTAACCGAAGGCTCCGCAGCACGTAATGTCTGTGGATGATGGACAAATATAATAAAGGTGCTATCTGAATAAATGCATTTCACCTCTAGAAGGTCTTCTCACGAACCTTGTTTTTGTCAAAATCTAAGCCATGCTCTTTGTAATTTCTAGAGTCGAAGGGTGGAGGCACTCCGCTGTCATATCTGTTTGAAGACACCACGACCTCTTCGAAGAAAAACGTTTACTATATCTTTGACACTCCTGATACCATTCGGTGAGTGGAGGCTTCCTTTGGAAGTTGAAAATATCTCATCCATTTCTTAACATTTTTATTAAGGGAGGGGATAACGATGAAACACTATAGATCCAAACAACTCAGGAGTGACCAGAAACGAATGGAATTTTTCGCACTTGTAGAGTGTTAACAACTAAAATCTCGTTTTGTTGATTAGTTAAACACCTAAAGAAAAAAAACAGAAGCGACTCACATAAATGAATTACTTGTATTGGTTTTTCGTTTGCTTTTCTTCGAAAATGCTTCACTTTTAAATATTGGAAAATCAAATATTTCCAATCGATCCCAAGCTGTTGTAAGAAACGGTAAGGCTTCTGCTTGTTTGCTTTAGTTTTGCGTTTCTTTTCATATTTGTTTATTTGCACGGGCTTAAATTGGTTTTCCAGTTTTCTTCATCATTGTAAGAACATTACGCTGGATAATAAAATCAATGGAGTTCTTTTAATTGGTAAGTTACAAACATTTCCTACGGTATCCCATGCCATTTTCCGATTGATGCGAAAGGACAGTCTTTCTTGGGACTGGTTCATTTGTTTATCTTCTAATGTTTTGATTACAGGTGAAAGTCATATGTATTTTGTGGGTGAGGAAGCTACACAGACAGACACAGACATTACTCAAGTAAGACTCTTTTCTCTCTCGATATCATGTGTTTTTCATTAACATTTTAACTGCCATGAGTGACCAGGATAGAATTTCTCCTTACAATATCTTTTCAATATCAAGCTGACAAGTGATGAGAATAAAGAAAAATATCAATTAACTGATTAGATACGATGAATATATGAATATATGAAGTTCATCATACGTAATTAACTGATTGTTAGTTGATCTAAAACCAAATTCTCAGAACTAACATGATAAGAATTGTAGGGCAGTTGGTGAAGAGAAGTAATTACTGATGGGATCTTCAAAGGGTTAAGTAAATGTAAAGCAATGATCCTCGCGTGTGAGCTGCAATTTACTCAATTGCAGAAACAATTGAAAATTTCAACGGCGACCTCGCTTCCAGAAAGTGAAGTACTAAATATTGCACTTCTCTGACAAGAGTTATCTGACCTAATGTGTATGTTGTAGTTCAATTTTATCCTTGGTTCAAATTTTATTTTCCTTTGTTTCAAACTCGTTATCATACATTCACATGACCGAGAACAAAGGAAAATAAAATTTGAACCAAGTATAGAATTGAACTACAACATGTACATCTTTATGTTTTAAGATTTTGCTAGGCAACAAGGATGCCATCTCCATATCCTGGCTCTATGAAGAAATTCAAGAAATTCGTACCAGGAGATACTGCCTTCAGGTAAACACATCCAGCTATTCACGAAATTTTAACGAAAAATATCGACTCTCTTTTCAATCGACGTTTTTTTTCGGCTTTACCGTTTTGACTGCTTAAGGTCCCTGATATTTACTCTGTCTTACTTTATGAACAGGACAATGGCTTGGAGATATTCCTTAACACCGGCCGGACGTATTTGTTAGCATTTGACACGAAGGAGGTATTTTCTGTTCATTTGACTTTAACTGACTTTCAATGGATAATCCTCAGACATAAAACGACAGCAAAGAGAACGCCAAAAAAAAAAAAATTTAAACCAGAAACACTATTTTCTTTCAGACGAACTAGTGAACATATGGGTGGATGTCAACTTCCTCTTACTTTTCACTTTCCTTTTGTTTTCATTTTACAGCTTTGTAACACCGCGTGCGGGGCAATATCTGTGGTCTGATTGATTGAAACTGAGGTTTTCTCTGGTGAACGAGACTTGAGGATCCTTTGGTTTCATCCTCGTGTAAAAGATGCTCTTGTGATAGACAATCTTTTGATCAAATATTATTTTTACTAGGACCGCGAAAAAGTACTGGAGCAGTTTAAACAGAGACATCTGCCTTGGTACGACGCGCCACAATATGAACATCTAATGGTTCTAACAAACAGGTATGGCTGTTAGCAGGAGTGTTTCCATACTTGGCTATCAACCTAAATTGGATTAAAGTTAACAAAGCACTTTCTAAGATTATCAAGAAGTAGGGAAAACACTGGACGACGTTTCGTGTTTCCCATTCACTTCTTTCGTGCTCTAGCCGCTTTCTGTGTGCTTTTCAACAGAACAGAACACAATCACGGCTTCTTTATTTAACTCTCCATCGTCTGTGTTGCACTTGTTCTAACCAGGTGGCGGATGGGACAGATGACCAACTTTCAGTACCTTACAGAGCTAAACAAGATGGCAGGTCGCTCATTCAATGACCTCATGCAGTATCCCGTGTTCCCATTCGTGCTGGCTAACTTTAGTAGCGATGTCCTGGACCTGAACGACGTCAAGAATTTTCGGTAGTGATTGGTTGTTTATCTTTATTCTTGCAGATAAATTGGACAACTTCAACCCTGAGCAATGAATACAGAATGTTTCAGAGGGTGGATTTAATTACTTGTTCAGTTGAAAAGACAAAATTTCTTCTATAACCAACCTATCTGGTAAATGATGGGTATGTGCTAACTAATTAAAAATAAAGGTGTATGTCTTTCTTTTAGCGACCTTTCTCGTCCAATTGCTGTGCAAAATCAGTCAAAGGAACGAAAGTATCGAGAAAACTTTAGAGTAAGTATTTTTTTTTTAATCATTTACTTCGTGGTCAGTTTAACAAATGGTAAACACCACAGCGTACACTATTGAGTTATGGATGCACGCGGGAGGTTGCTAAGCACGAAAGAAGCGTAAGATCGCCTCGAGCGACTCTAGCTTCTTGAGTGCTTAGCAAACCTCCCAAGTGCATCCATAACTCAATAGTGTACGCTGTGGTGTTTACCATTTGTTTTATAACATAACATTGATACATTGTAGCTAAAGAGTTCCCTTTTATTTAACAAATCTTACGTGACCAGAAAAAACAAGCGCGCGCGGAAAAAGTCTTTGCATTTGCTCACGTCAGCAGCGTACACCCATGGGTAAATGGGGGACGCTAAATTGACCAATCAGAGTGCGCGCTTTACTTTGGTTATGTTATAATTGTATTTGTGCCCCCAAAAAGCGATACCGAAAGAGGTACAGGAAAATGTTCCACTAGCATCTAAAGCCAACACGATTAATTTACACGTCGCTGTTGCAAGGGTTTAATAAAAGCTGGTTACCGCCTTATGCTTCGCCAGCGAGATGAAGAAAGATTAATCGATTACATTACGTGATTTCGGTATTCTTTACGTGCGGAGTACGAGACGCGGACTACTTGACGTTTGACTGTTTTTGTCATAGTGGTTACAAGAGGAGTATGAACGCATGCAAGAAGAGGATCCAATGTCCGCCCCGTATCATTATGGATGCCATTACTCTAACAGTGGCACCGTTTTACACTTTCTTGTTCGGATGCCTCCGTTCACTAAAATGTTTTTGCAATATCAGGGTAAGTTAAACAAAGATGTATTCTTGATGAAGTTGTCTTGTTCATTCTCTTCAATTCCGTTGATTATTTCATTCCATTACTTTCCCATTGTCATTCCCATTTCCCCCTCCCTTTGTATGTTGATTCCCTTCTGTTTGGCTTTGGTCCAGTGGTTTGCAAAGTGACTTGATGTTTTTGGCGTTTTCACTGATTTGTTTGTGTCTGTTTATTCATTTATGGGAGATTCTTTATTATTTGACAGATCGCAGTTTCGACATTCCTGATCGTACGTTCCATTCCATGGCAACAACATGGCGTTTGTCATCGTTCGAGTCCGCTACTGATGTCAAAGAGCTCATCCCAGAGTTCTTTTTCCTCCCAGAGTTCCTTGAAAACCGCGAAGGTTAGCATTCAGCTCAATAATTGACGTCTGAAAATGAAGTATTGCTGCTGCAGTTTCCCTAGAATATTCGATGTGACTAGAACCGGATTGGAAAAAAAAGTTTAGTTTATTTGAAACAAATACAAGACAGAGAAAACATACGATTGTCGTTGAGAAAATTAACCCAATGGTTTGAGTTGCTCAAGGTACGGAATGAGCTGACGCAGTACTACCTTCCAGTAAANNNNAAATCAATTCAAATTAAATCCTAACCATATCCCTCGTAAATTCAATTGGCAGTAATGTCGCAATTTGATTGGCCAATTTGCCGTTGTCGATAAAAGCACAGACGCTTGCTCTCGTCAACGTGTCACCCAATGGTCACGCACTGAAAGAATCGTTTCAATATTTTGTCCATTGTGATGACGAGTATCGTCGATAAGCATACAGACCAAGCTAAACCACTGTCGATGTGTTAAATTGAACGTTGCAAAAATTGATTTACGAATTTTGCCTTGACTTCGTTACGCCTTGTTAAACAATATTATTAAGTTCAACCTCCTTCACTCTCACCAAACACTTTGCTTGTTTTTCAGACATCTTACAGCAATGATCCTTACTTATGAAGACGTCTTGTAAGGGAGATTAAGTTGGTGTTAAAACTTTGAACTATTTCTACAAAAGGGGAGGGTAGGTTAGGACGTCTTCCACTCCTGTGTTGTCTTACTCTTTTCCGTTACCCCCTCCCTCCCCTCCCTCCCTCCCTCCGTTCTAAACGTTAGCTTTACAACGCACTTTTATACTAGAGACATCAAAAACAAGTTTAACTGTGAATCCTTGAATAGCACTGACTTTCTCTCATTAAGCTACTGTTCCAAGACCTCCTTTTTATCTACAGTCAAAATCTCTACCACTAACCTAAAGAAAAGTAGGATAGAGTTAACCTTGTTAATTTCGTAAATTGATGTTTTCAGGTTTTGACTTTGGCCTTCGTCAAAATGGTCAGCGGGTTATGGATGTAGAGGTTCCCCAGTGGGCAAAAGGTAGCACCAGGCTTTTCACTATGATTCACAGACAGGTACGGAAATCTTATTTCGTAGCACCCTTCATAACTCATTACTCCTAGTGATCAAATATAGAAATCAATAGATAGAGAATTTGTCGTCTTCTTGTGTTGTATCGACTTCTACTCGCCGTTTTTTGCAGTTGTTTTTGTTGAATGACTTCAGTTTCCTTTTACTTTCGACAAGACAATGGGCGAAGGAGTTGCAAAATATCGATCTCAGACCCCAGACCGTGGACCAGGTCAAAACCAAGCGAAATATTGAAGATTTAGCTTTCCAAGTCTTTAAGTGATAAAGGTTACTCAGCGGCTGATCAATCGTTGCTTTTGTTCGACAGGCCTTAGATTCAGAATATGTTTCGCAAAACCTCAACCAATGGATCGATCTTGTATTTGGTTACAAACAAACAGGCCGCGAAGCTATAGACGCCATCAACGTATTTCACCCCGCTGTAAGTTGAATTGATCAGTGACATCACGTTTGTCGTAAGTAACAGCTTTGAGAATTTTAGGGAAGCTCGAAGTCATACGCCGAAGTCCGAGTAAACCGGTCAATTAAAAAACAGGTACACAACACTGTCCTTCTAAATAATGGGCATCACTGAAGAACTAGCTAATCTGGCCGGACAGTTCAAAGAAACAAATGAGTAAGCTTTACGATTGGTTCGGTTTGGGCTGTCAGTTCTGATTGTTGGAATGTGGTATGAGTTATGACTGCCTTAGAATTAACTTAGCAATGACTGATACTCAGTGCATTTAGCAGTTGTGGAATTCTAGAACAATTCCTGGCAAGCCAAGCCATTTCCTAGGCTAATGTGTCTTTTTGACCCTCCAGACATACTATGGTGTAGATGTGAATGCAATCACAGACCCCGTCCGTCAGAAAGCTCTCAAGACCATGATAGAGACATACGGCCAAACTCCCCAGCAACTGTTCACATTTCCTCACAGCCCGCGACCACAGAGCAAACCACAGCTTTCATTGTCCGCGGAGGGAAGCTCTTTGGTTAGTCATTTAAGTTTCACTTTCAAGGGCATGGACAATGAACCTTACAGCGGGTTGCTGATAAACCGTCTGGGCACATCACTTTCTTCTGATACTGGCACGCTTGTGGGTAGCGCCGTTGACACTCTGACCGGTAAATGTACACTTCATATAATGTCATGGATTATGAATTGCCATTTATTCTCGTTTTGCGGTTGCACGTTCTGGCCTTCCTATTACTAACAATGAACCGATTTTTTCCACGCGTGAGGTGTACATCGCCATTTAGTATTTGTCTTTTTTTTCCTTGAGTTTGCGAATGGTTCTATATGATACGAGTTGAAAAAGGACGATAAAATCGAACAAAAGTACAAAAAATCCCTATCTTTTTTTTAGCTCCTCCTTCGTAATTCTATCGTGTTTAATGCTTTTAGGTTATTAATTGCATCACGGCTGATATTTTGATCATTCTCTTTTCATGTGACTTTAACCTAAAATCTACATCGTGTTACATAAGGTAAATAACCGCTTATTCTTTCTTCAGCCATGATAATCCCGTGTTATTCCGAAAAAAGAATTGGACCTTTTTTCTGACATTCGTATTTTCTACAGAAATTCGACAGCCAGTCAATACAGTCGAGGGCCTAAAATGGGGGCAATACGTCGGTTCTCCGGCTATGGGTGCCCCCGCTGTGGGTTTTACGCAAGCGTTGAACACCTCTGTTCATTCTCTGGTCTGTCTCAAGAATGACTATGTCTTTGTCCTGGGTTACAACTGTACCTTGCTGACCGTGCACCAGACGAAGCCTGGGGAGAGTGATGAAAGGTTAATTTGGTCTGCAGTATTGAGCTGGGGGTACATGGATGGGGGTTTACGTGTGTGTACCTCCCCTGAAAGTGCCCCTGTCTGTCTCATGGAGCACCACACACCTGATAAGGTAAAACCTGCGGTAGAAAAGTTTAAGCGAAGTTCTTTTCCGGGATTCTTCGAAATTCTGAATTTCACTTGTAGACTGAACATTAAACACCTAATCTTTCTAGGGTTTTACTTTTACGTAGATCACGTGTTGTGCAGTGACTGACGGATGTAAGCTGTTGTTCATTGCTACATCAACTGGCACGTTATCAGTGCTGCCCGTCAAGTACAACCCAGCCGTGGTAGGTCACTGGATTTATTTTTTATTATTTTTTTAATTTATATTTCTTGGTAGGGGGAGTGGGTAATCTAGCTATATTACTCCACGTGAATCTGCGTGACATATGTAACTACTACTAAGGTTTAAAACGGGTACGTTTCTAGAAACTGTAGTGCTGCGTCCTTGGGGTGGCCATCAGAAGATAATTTGGTTTTATCAACTGAATTGATTATGTAAATTAGACAACGTAAAGAATTGCTAAAGATGACGTTTCGAGCGTTAGCTCTTCGTCAGAGCGAGAGGCAGATAGACTGAGTGAAAGGTAAAGGTAAGGAAGCCATTTTTTTCCAACGGAAGTATTTAAGCCTTGTATTTAATGAAAGAAATTACTATCGATGGACGTGTGAATACTTGAAAGTGTTATCTCGAATTGTTGCCCTGTTAATAATTATCACTTGTTCCGAAATCAAAATAGAGACGTTTTTATCCAAATTTCAGGACACTGGTATGGAAGTGTTGGGTTCGAGAGTTCGTCTTCACGGACACAAGGATTACATCACGTGTATGGAGTTGTGTCAAGCCTTCAGTATTGTGGTCAGTGGTAGTCGTGATAAGACAGCCATCATTTGGGATTTGAACAGGTAAGTTTTTTTTTTTCGTTTTTCATAAAGTGTGACAGGAATTCAGGGCCCTAAATGTTTCACAGTCCTTTTGATGAAGTTTAAATTTATTTAGATATGTGAAAGCCTGTTTCCCGAATGAGCTTAATGAAGGCCCCGATTATCCCAAATAAATCCTAAGTGATCAGGACGATAACGCTAATTAATTTGGTTTTTTTGTTTGCTCCTAAAAAAACTCGTGCAACCCTTTCAACCAATGATATCCAGTAGTATTTAAATTAGTCAATTTCTGTACGAATTTTGAGAATTTACAGCTGAGGCAGTATATCCTGTGGTTAATTTTTTTTATCCTACTTTCTTTTTTTCTTTGTTGGTTTTATTTTGGTTGTTGTTGGCTTTTTTTTTTTTATTTGTCCGTTCACATTTCTCCCCTGTTGAATGTTTTACTCACCCACCTTTGTAATGAAGCGCTGGAAAAGAAAAATAAAACAAATCTCATAACTAATCTTGTATGCATGTCTCCTGAATCTTAGTCCTGATTTTGCGTTCGGATGCTCATACAACTGAGCTATAAATAGATCTAAATAGCTTCCTGGCGCTCCGAGGCATGCGACGGGAACTGGTTTACATTCGTCACCGTTTAGTATTTCTTAAAGTTTGATTCATCAGCTACTAAGAAATTATTTTAAATTGATAAGAATCTAAACACTGAATTTTTTCTGTTGTCCTTCTCTGTAGGTTAAGTTATGTGAGATGTTTGGAACACTCTAACACAGTAGCATCGCTGGCTATCAGTAAAACCACAGGAGATATAGGGACAGTGTCACATACAAGTAAGCTTTTTAGATGTGTTATCATCATGAAGTTTGTTGAGAATTCTAACGGTTAGAATTATCAGTGAGAATTGCATTTTTACAATCCGAATATGACCTTTTTAATGTTCCATTGTTAGATGAGTGTCGTAAGTTTGGTAAGTTTCAGTAAAGTGAAAAAGATCTGCAGTTACTGGAGTTATAAAATGCCGTGAAAAATTGTACCTCGGTCGTCACGCAATCCTTTTAAAGCACTCAAAAAGAGGATGGTGTGACGAAAAAAAAACTTAATAGTAATGAAAGGGTGGCACGATAGCTGAAGTGACAACTCATCAAATACGCGATTGATTAGCCTGACTCGTTCATCGTGGGACAAACGATTAAACGTTAATTCATTTATCTATAAAACAACGATGAACAACAACATTTTCTCAAACATTAGATCAAGGAAAGTTAGAGAGACTTTTGCGTGACAAAACATTGAGCAAAGCATTTACATTTTTTTTCTCCTTTGACGTTTTAGTGAAGTACGTCTCTGAAGAGAGCACTATAGAAGAAGGAAGCGTAATTAAACTATGGACAGTCAATGGCAGGTTCATAAGCCAAGCCCCATGTGAGCTTTTAATCAACTGCTTGGAATTTTCCGCTGCTCCTGAGGGAATATCTGTCAATGTTATCGCCACTGGATTAAGCAATGGCGCTATAAGGTGAGCACGCTGCCCTTGGAATACCACCTATATTCCTATTTAGCTCCCCCCTTCCTCTTCATGATGTGAATTCTTACAAGTGAAGTTGAGCAAAACGAACCAACACAATGACCTCCTCCCAGTTGGCTTGTTAGCTCAGTTGGTAGAGCACTGCACCGGTATCGCAGAGGTCATGGTTTCGAATCTCGTACAGGCCTGAATTTTTTTCAGGCCTTATTTTCATTACTGCTTAAGTAGTGTTCATATCTGCGAAGATCGCTCTCATAATAACTTGATCACAATGTCATTTACGGCTGATTTGGTTGCTCGAAATAGCTACCTATCCAATTAATTTTCTTCTCGCAGGTTATGGAGCACATGGGACCTAAGCCAAATACGGGACATTGCCCCTGATCAGTATCTCAGCCAAGTAGCAAGGTTGTGTAGCTTTTGTTGGTTTTCTTTTGTCCGTTTACATCCTTCCGTTGCAATGGTTACTGATTAACGGTTCTAACCAGTCAGATTGGAGTATTTAGGTCACATGCTTAAAACGGAGATTTTAGGTCGACATATTGGTCTACTGGAATGCAGCATGACACGGTCAAGAATAAATGTTTAAGGACTGAAGATTTGTATTGCGTTTTTAAATTAGTCCATATTCTGAAATCTAATGCTTTTTAACCTCGTTACCTTACTGTTGCTCTTTGTTCGGTTACTAACTTATGTATGTCAGAGCTCGACACTAACGGTAGCCAATTAGCCACAGACTTGTAGAAATTCACTTTTGGCCAGTTGTTCTCGATTTTCACCAGCAAGTTTGGCTAGTAAACAAACTGAAATTGTTGTAACGTCTGAGCTGTCACTAGCCACTTGGCTAGTGAGTTGAAAAGTTCCTGTCGAGCCCTGTCTGTCAACTTTCACAATATCCGCTCGTTGTTTTGTTTTTTAATGTATGTTATAGTGATCCAGTGCAGGGATACATCATGATATTTAGTGCCATTTGACATTGTTAGAGAACTCCTCTTAATAGGACAAAATCATTTATTGATGAAGTTGTGCTTAATTGGTAAACTTCCAGATGTCAAGCTGGCCGATAATGTTAATATTTTTCTGTCTAAGCTAAGATCAATTCAGCTATAATTTTTATATTTTTAAGTTTTTTTGCAATTTTTTATTATCTTTTATATTCATGTGTACATAGATTATAGATGATGTATTTCATTTTTTAAAATTACTTTTTAATTTATACTAGATGTTATTATTATAATTGTAAATTTAACGCACGTATTTTGAACGAGCACTTGTGCTCTTAGACGATAACGTGGTTGAATAAATTATTGTATTATTGTATTGTATTGTAATTTATTAGGATTGACAAAATATGGCTGAATTCTTTCAAGAATCATAATATTTCATCTTTTCATCTTCTTTAAGCCTGACTTTTTCAGAAGACAGTCAACGACTTTTTGCCGTGAACACCAACGGGAAACTCGTCGCCTGGCAACGGAGAGACAAAATCTATACAAAGCCACCGACGATAACCGTATTCCCTCGAACTTAGACGCAATCTTTACTTCCTCAACTCAGGCTTGGGCTTAGTTTGAATATAACACTGGAAATATAGAGTTTGATTGTTATTCCTCAATTTGTAAAGCTTAGGATGAACTACGGCACAATTTTTGTTGTTGTCAGTGACGGAAATAGGGCTACAATTTATTCTAGGCTTAGACCAGTGCATACATGCAATAATTAACGTGTTCAACTCTTGGTTCTTATGACGTTACGAGACAAAATACAGGGCCAACCGAGACCTTGAAATAATGCTGTGAGGTCGCAAGGAAACTTGGCGATCGAGGCGAGAAGTTTTTTCACCGATACACTTGTCACTTTAAATATAATGTATGATATAGGAAGTCTGCGTTTCGGAATTCCCTCATGAGTGGGCAATCACGAAACAGGCTTGTAGGGATGAAAGCTTAGTCTTTGTATTTTCCTAACTCAGCATAATATATGATATATGTTTTTTACATGAAATTGAACTGATTGCATTTCAGTGCAAACTAAAGAGAGCAACGCTTGCAGCTAAAAAAAAACGTCACGTTTAGGCAATCCTAACGACAAGAGACTCATGACACAGATTCTTTCTAAAAGGTGTCTTTTTTAAGTAATTAAACGCAAGACTATTTTGTTACACTCATGTTTTTAATCATAATTCCACTAGTAAATGGTAATCTTTTTTCTCCGTGAGGTAGTTGCAAACAAAAATCAAACAATGGATTAAAAATGGTCTGATACATGGACTACTATGATGATGAATTCCGACTGTTGTCGATAAGGGTACAGATCACGCTAGACCACTCTCGATTTATTCATTCTCACGGAGGTTGGCCTTTTTTTTTGTTGCAATTTTTGTCAGGGAAAAAATCGTTAAATGTGGCTCGTGAAAAAAGAGACTAGGAGATATTTCTTTAATAAAAAATTTATAAGTCACCCAGTGAATTAAAGCGAGTGAAAGGTGTGTACTATTTACGTTAGATATGTACCATAGAAATGTAATATATTAATTTCAGAATTGAATCTTTCTTTTTTACTGAAATAAAGTAATTTTAAAAAGATTTTGCAGAAATTTGACCATTTTATTCACCTTCATTGTCAATGCAAGCCATGCTTTCCTTGTTTGCTTTCGATAGTTTATAAACAGGAGTGTTAGAACTAGAAAAATAGAAAAGTGATCTTGGTGGTGATCTTTGTAAAAGAGATACAGTATATTTAACCGAGTCCGTCCTCGCAAAATACTTGTTCTGTTTGAAGACAGACGTCAACATTTTTTCCAAACGGTACATGAATAGCTCATTCCTATGGCGTCCCATCGGGGCCAAAATTCAACATTGCGATTTGACGTTGTACTTTTAGTATTCTTCCTTATTTCGCGGTTGGACATTCAAGTTTTTATTCCTTATGAAACTTTTTCCGATTCAACGTTGTCTTTTTTTACAATTAAACTTCCAAGTTTCGAGTATTAAGCATTGTACTTCTCGTAATTCCACTTGGTAGTTGTGGCAATGCAATATTTTTGTACTTATGGTATTGATATACTCAACATGCAGTACTTCGTGTTGTTCAACATTCAACTTTCCATCATCCAACCGCAACCCAGCTATTAACGAAGGAGCGCAGGCTCACTGAGGTCAAGTACCTCATGTAAGCCTCATAACTTCGTACGAGGTTATCTTGTGAGATGAAAAATGGACGATATCTCGTATTTGCTGGACTGTGTTCATAACATCCTAGACATTTTAAATAATGTTCAAGGCGTACATAACAGTCACGGAAATGTTCAGCTTCTTGTTGGTAAAGTAGATTTTTCGCACAGGATGTTGGTAAATCTAGACATCGATGATTTTATAACAGAAACCATGGGAAGAACTCATAGTCTGCTGGTAGAAATCGAAAGAACTGAGAATTTTTATGGAGGTTAGCGTTTAACAAGACGTGGACGTCTTGTTAAGACGTCCACAAGAGCGCTAGCGCTTAACAAGACGTGGACGACCCTCATACGTAATGAGCAAAGAACTGCTCTCATATTTAATTGAACAAGGTTTTAAATTGCGAGAGATTTCTTGGAGTAAGTTGCAGCTAAGAGAAGAATGATGTCATATGGACTAAGCGTATCCGGTACATACTATTGTTTAAGCTAGGATATTATGAACACAGTCCAAACAATAGAAACAATGCGTATAAAATGAACAAGAAAATATGAAATGAGACGTAAGCTAAGTGACTGGCAAACCTGATAAAATAACAAATATACACGGAATAACTGAAAACGGAAAACAATGCACAAAGGACGTGAATGTAAAACAAAGGTGAGGCGCTGTGACTACAGTCAACACTTAAGCGTCAAATAATTCGTGAAATAACGGGAATTTCAGGAATTGTACACAGCCTAGCTTAGTCTTGAGCCAGTCCCACACTGGGAAGAATATTCTCCACTATCAATTTACGTCACTAATCCACAACGATGTTGTGAAATTAACAAAGGCAGACAAAGTAGCTAGAGAGAGTCTGAGAAATGCACTTTGATGCAACTTGCGTGGAAGTACTGGCCACAACTATCTTATCCCAGCCAATCTTCTCCATCGTCGTCATGGCACTCCGTGAAACAAACGTTGATATTTCTCCTACAGCGGACGGAACATGTCTTTCATTATCATTCACTTAAATATGTCTTCTTTTTTATTAAGTCAGGTCTCATACTTTGACTCTTAACTCTATATCAGGATCAAACCCGATGCTTAGCAAGATTGAAGGATCTGCAGTTTGGAAACAAGCTGTGACAGCTTACTTACTTAGGTGACTTAAATGTCATCCTTTCGCGAGATTTCGCAATATTCGCGGGTTTCATAATTTGCCCGCTGGCCAAAATTACTGTTTACTCTTACCCTCGACGACCGCCTTCGATATTGCGTCAC